TCTGTATTTATAGCGGTATTTACGTGTGATGAAAGTTAAGCAGGAACCATTAAAAACAAGGGTATTTTCGTCATACTCGACGGAACTTTCGTCATCAAAATGTGAATTTTCGTCACAGCCACAAAAAACACTCCGAAATTCACGGGAACTTACGTCATCATGCTTTTTTCTGAAAAACGCACTTTCGTCACATGTGACGAAAGTACACCCCCCCCTATGACGAAAGTGCGTTGTGACGAAAGTTCCTTTTACCATTCAAATTTGAATTAAGATAATGGTTCACGACATTTAGATTTTTTTTGTAGAATTCAGTATAAACAATATAAAAATAAATAATTAGATTTACTAAAATCCGCTCGCGTTTATCCGATAAGTCGTTGAGTGCCTTAGTTTTCCTCAAGTTTTATTATAACAAGATGAAGAATTGAATATTATGTATATCTTTGAATTAAATAAATAAAAAGCTGCGTATTAATATTCTCGTGAAGTAAAAACCAATCGATGTCTTCTTTTAAAAAATGAAATAAGTATTATAAATCTTATTGATTTATTGAACACATAAATTATACATGAATTCAATGAAATATATTAAAAAATGTATTGAAATTTTTAAAAAACCGCAATACCGGTTTCAATGCTCTTAAAACCGCAGAACCGCGGTTTTTTAAAAACGCGGTATTTCAGAAACCCTAATTTCGGATGTGTTATTTCAGATGAGATCATTTTTAAAAGAGTTCATACCACTGAAAAACGAAAGAAAAGTCGTTTTGAATTTTTTAAGTGATTTTTATTTAAAATTTTTATTTAAAAAAAACTTTCAGGGTACTCCTAAACATGTCCGACCGTTATACCTGGAAGTTTTAGTCAAATCAGTGACACCTTCGATGCAACCTATGTTGTAGCTATTAGCATACGTGAACGATTAATAATAATTTTTGATAATATACAAAAAATTTGAAATGAACACTAGTAGAAGAGAAACAACTTTATTTTCATAAGATAACGCTGGAAAGCAAAATTGTTGATTATGGTATTTTTCCGTAATAATTTGCGTGTGACAAAGGACACGTCCCGCCATCTGTTCCGTACCATTCAGGAAAATAAACATTTTGTTCATATTTAAATATGAAATAAATAAAGAATAAACTAATTTGTATACCAATATCCATAGCAATCGAAAATAAAAGAGCATATCGATTCCACCACCATTTTCTCACCACCATATGGAATATAAAACCCACAAGGAGCCACGATGGATAATTTGACATTGTTTGCAAATAGATAACTCCTATGGTTGTAAACATAATTGGAATGTGAATGTAACTTAGAAACTTATTGTGACGATAAAAACGTTGTAATACCCAAAATAGTATTGGTAATAAAGCACCAGCCAAAATCAACCATAACATTACGGAATAGGAAGAATTTAATCCAAATACATCAGATGGATCTAGAACGATAAAAAAGCAATTTACTTGATCGATTTTCTCTCGATGAGTCAATAGAACAACAATTTTTTTAGAATGTTCCATGTGAATTAGATGGGAATCGAAAAGTTTAGTATTGGAAAATTGAATACAGGAATGTTCAACGCCAGGAAAAATCAGAGTTAATATTGAATCTATTGAATAAGTAGTAATTTTACGCAGCATTCTCATTCGTCGTTCACAATAGTAAACGAGCGATTCCTTAATCAAACATGCCTAGGAACAATGATACAGAGGTATTTATTAGCAAAAATTACTGATAAAAATTGGGTAAATTTTTTCATTTGTCGATCGATCCTTTATAGCTGAATAACCATTCAGATCTAAACGTGGTTTTTGCTTTGTTTTACTGCTATTGGAAATTACTGTTATGTTAAGCAATCGATAATGTCAGAGAGTATATTCCATCATGTATTTATACTATCAAGTAATAAATTAGTTTCTACTCACTAAAGATTACTAATTTGATGAATTTTACGCCGATGATTACTTTTCATGATTGAATTTTAGCGTTTGATTAAATTTACACACACGATGACTACTTATTCGATAGATTCAACTAGATATGCATCGGGTCGAGTCACCCGAAAATTTAAGTCTGTTTTTTTTCTGATGGGTACTATTTTCAGGTGTTTACATTAAAGAAGATCCCACCCTTTTATACTATTTTGCATGTTAATTTCATTTTACACTTTACGCAAGTAATCTGAGTATTTTGTTATAAGACAAATTTCGTTCTGCACTTACAGTAAGACAGTTTCGATTAAATGTCTTACTGTAAGTGCAAAACGAAATTTGTCTTATGGCAAAATACTCAGATTACTTGCGTAAAGTGTAAAATGAAATTAACATGCAAAATAGTATAAAAGTGTAGGATCCTCTTTAATGTCGAGGCCTGATAATAACAACCATCAGAAAAAAAACATACTTTAATTTTGGGGTAACTAGAAGCTCGGTGCATACTAGGATAATTACGCTGATTTTCTTGGTGCTAAACATTCCTGTGCTGATCGTTCTTATGCTCAATTTTCGTTGGTGAAGTTTCCGTGCTGAACTGTCACTAACCCGAATTAGATGGAGGTTTATGCTTTGTCTTATTATCTCAAAGCTGCATGACAGTCGTGCATATTAGCCAAAATAAATCTCTATCGTTTACATGTTCAAACTTTATCGAACAAAGAGAGATAAGAATATTTACTTATAGATGAGAATGTATGCGACATTGTTTGTACATTAGTACATAACCAGTTCTTGTTTGACTCACAAATTCCTTCAATATGGTCCATTAAATATTGACTAATACAATAACGTATTGCCGATGATAATAGTGCAATAATCAGTTGTATAGAGAATATAGCCCTTGGTGATATTTTCATATAATGTGCAAATTTTAAATTCCTCAATAGATACATAGCACGATTTTGTATTAACCACGTATAGGTTGAGAATGTATAATTACCTGCTACATTTCCAGGCAATAAAAGACCACTCACAAGCACAGTTACATTTGTTAAATCAATAAAAATATTTGTTTTTGCATTAATAATTCCCGTTGGTAATAAACTAAGAATTCCAAGTGGAACTGATATATATAAATATTCCCATGGCATTAATTTACCATAATGACAGATAAAACATCCAGAAACAAAACCGGTTGTTGAGACAATCCAATATAACCATTGCGGGGCTTCAGAATATTTTGACATTAGTAAACAATGAATATCATTTTGTCGATGCTGTAATGATGTTTTGGCATGTTTTAGAATGTCTTTACCATAATAAAATATTGTATGTGTAATTAGAGCAGCTAATGATGCAAAAAATAAATAATTACCAATAACAAATGTCACTGTTGAATAAAAATGAGGATGCGTATTATTATTAGAAATTTCAAATCGATTTCCTTTTGGAAGAGGAACGGCTGCTCCTTGTTGAGTATTACCAGGTAATTGAAAAACACTACCATTTAAATAAAAAAATCGACTATCTGCAATTGGAAATGTCATGAAATTCCAAACATTTGTATAATACATTATGGGTACGAATAGCCAACAAGCAAGGACAAAACCAATTAGAATATTAATTTGAGCCCAAAGCGGTGTTAGGATAGGAGAGCCTAACTGAGATGTTAATGTTAACCAATCAAATTGTAGAGTACCACCCCCCATCGCAAGACCACCAGTACCGGTCAGTTGCGCCAACAGAATATTATTCGGGTTTATCATACACATCCACGAAAAAGCTGTCAACAAAGGAAATATAAGACCAGGTAACCAATAATAAATTGCGGAAATGATACAAATAAGAAGAAAAAATCTCATCCGATTTAAGTTTAACCATTTTGGTTCAAATGAATAATCCTTTTCGTACATTGTTCGTAACAAAGCAATATATGGTAAATTATACGGCCAAATCATTTCGGAAGGCCACACAAGGAATCGTCTCATAACACCTGTAGAAATAAATATATAGGAAACATTATAATTCGATAATTACTCGACGCATCAAAATCAATCACTAAGATATTCATGAAATCAAAAGAAAATATATTTTTATTGCCACTGGATACGTTGTGAAAAACGATTATTTTTTTGTAACCTTATAGCAAACCTTCTCTCTCCACATCGATGGAGAAAAGAATTCTGAATAAAATAAAGCCATTTTGATGTTTCTATGATGTTTTGTTACTGCAATACATTCCTTAAAACTGTAGTCTTCAAAAACTTCCAAGTCAAACCTTAATTTCTTTGCATAGACGGTGCGCAAAATTCCTCGAAATAGTTGCATTTCGTAGAAAATTGCTTTCTCCGTCGGTGTGGTTTTAGAACAGTTGTGAGCAGAGAAGGTTTGCTATAGGTTTTCCAGAGTCATGGTTTTCCTAAAATCTTCTCGAAATGTTCTAGAGACTTCGGAACTTATATTCTTCGATGTTTTCTACGAATAAATCCAGATTTTTATCGAACTTGACTCAAAACTCATTATTTTATTCGAGAATGACTTGCCCGATTTTCGTCAAATTGCTCAGGTTGTAGTAAAAGTGCAATATCTTAGGAACGAAAGAAATCTGGTAAACCACATGCATACTTTTTTTCGTGATGGTATGGCGAGCAGAACCACGTAAAAATATTGGCTTCATCTCATATTTGTACAGACTGGAAGCATTTGGCGCTAACAGTAAACGGTTTTTCCGCTCTTCTCAAATTTTAAATTCTTTTTTGGTCCTATCATACATGAATGACATCGAAAATATATCTTTTACATTCAGTTTTTGGTGCAGAATAAGAAAAAGATATTTTCGAAGTTACGAACTAAAGGTAAAGTGAAAATTTTCGATAATTTTGAAAAAATTCGACCATTTTGAAAATTTCGAGTTCTTTAAATTGTGGACCCTAAACAATTTTTTTGAAACTCTAAAGCACACATATTCTTACTCAGTTCGACGAACTCTAATGACCCATGTATACAAATCGAAAAAGTACATTTTGTTTAAGTTTTGAATTTCCGGCGCCTTAGTTATTTCTTGATGATTCAATTCATAAAATCGATTCTAAGACTACTAAATTCAGTTGTTAGAGAGTGATTTTTTAACCCTGCTAGAAATGCGACATAATTTGATAGACAAATCCTTGTTGTGCGAGAAATACAAAGTCAGCGTTCGAGACTCTTATAGTTAAACCAGTCTCTAACATAACATAACAGTGTATGTTAGATTGTACTTCAGTAGCTCAGTGCTTAGAGCTTCTGGGCTGTTACTAGAGGATCCTGGGTTCGATTTTCAATCGAGGCATACGTTTTCTTTCCATATGTTTGTCTATCAAATTGTCACACGTCTAGTCTTGTTAAAAATTCACTTTCTAATTTCATCAAGTCCTATTTCACAATTCATCTGTAAATTCTATTGCGAAAAACAATCTTTACCAGCCATGCCACAACCCATCATTTGTGATGACAAGACAAGGAATAGTCCAAAAAGCCACTTGATCTGTTGTGAATGAACGATTTGTACTGCAACAATTATATCAATTGTATGTACATTATCGGCAGCAATTAAAGCCATTATAAATACGACTGCATGTTCTTTTATTGTAAACTGACCAGGATTCAATGAAAACATAAACCATTTTCGAATATATATTTGTTTTGTTGGTAACGTCCAGGCAAGAAAACGTCCTAATGGATATGTTAATATCAGTGCTAACAACGGTGAAAAGGAATATGACCGTGTTCGATAGTAGAGATACTGGTTTAGTATTGATATCAAAACAGTAAATAAAATACCCAATAACCATGAACGAAATGTTAAACACGGCATAGAATAATCATCTTTATTAGACACAATACCATAAATTTCTTCGTACGATGATTGATCAGCGTCTATAAAATCACTTTCCGGTACCGGTGTCTCTACTTGCTTCCAATCAGCAGATGTTTTACTTTGCATTATTAATTCAGAAACACAAAATATAAATCGTTGAATTGAGTAAAACAGATATCTATTTTATCCTTAATTATACCTTGGTACGCATGATTAAATAAAAACGTTATTGGCTAAGAGAGAGAGTAGAAGAGGAAAAACGAATGCGTTTTTACACATGTATTAAGCAAAAGGTAAAAATGGAAATGAAATCGAATAAATGTACTTTTGATCCCCAAATTTTTTTGTATACACATGAT